GGTGGTGAACATGATGTAATCTATGCAGAAATAGAAGTATAATGATGTACACCTGAAATTTTTACAATGTATAAACCAATGTTACTCCAATAAATAAAAAATTAAAAAAAAAAAAGAAAAACATTAGAGAAAATCAATGAAACAAAAAGTTGGTTCTTTGAAAAAATCAACTAAATTGATCAACCTTTAGCTAGATGGACCAAGAAAGAAAAACCACACTCATCTAAAACCAGAAATAAAAGTGGAGACATTACTACCAACTCTATAAAAATTAAAGGATTATAAGAGAGTACTATGAATAACTGTATGTCAATGAATTGGATAACCTAGATGAAATGTACAAATTCCTGGAAACACAAAACCTAACAAGACTGAATTGGAAAGAAATAGAAAATCTTAAGAGATTCATAACTATTAAGGAGATTGAATCAGTAACCAAAAGCCTCCTAGCAAAGAAAAGCCCTGGACCTGACGGCTTCATTGCTGAATTCTAACAAACACTTAAAGAAGTAATACTAATCCTTCTCAAACTCTTCCAAAATATTGAAAAAGAGGGAACACTTCCTAACTCATTTTATAAATCCAGCATCGCCCTGATACCAAAGCCAGACAAAGAAACTATAGGAAAATGAAACTTCAGACCAATAGCCCTGATGAACATAGATGGAAAAGTCCTCAAAAAAATACTATCAAATAGAATTCTGCAGCACATTAAAAGGATTATGCACTGTGACCAAGTGGGAAATATTCCTGGGATGCAAGGATTGTTCAACATACAAAAATCAGTCAATGTAAGATACCACATTAACAGAATAAAGGGGAAAAAAACAAGAGCATCTCAATTGATGCATAAAAAGCTTTTGACAAAATTCAACCCCTTTTCATGATGAAAATACTCAACAAACAAGGAATAGAAAGAAATCACCTCAACATAATAAAGGCCACATATGAAAATCCACAGGTAATATCACACTCAACGAGCAAGATTGAAATCTATTCCTCTGAGATCAGGAACAAGACAAGGATGCCCACTGTTACCATTTTGCTTCAGCATAGTATTGAAAGTCCTAGCCAGAGCAATTAGGCAAGAAAAAGAAATAAAAGGCATCCAAGTTGGAAAGGAAGAAGTAAAATTATCTCTGTCTTCAGATAACGTGATTTTGTATGCAGAACACCCTAAAAATTCCACACACACACACACACAAAAAAAAACTGTTAGAAGTAAAAAATGAATTTGGAAAGTAGCAGGATACAAAGTCAACACATAAAAATCAGTTGCACTTCTATACACTAACCATGAACAAAACAAAAAGGAAATTTAAAAAAAATAATCCCATTTACAATGGAATCAAAACCTATAAAATACTTAGAAATAGACTTAACCAAGGAGGTGAAAGATTCGTATTTTGAAAACTATAAACCATTACTGAAAGAGTTAAAGACACAAATAAACAGAAAGACACCCCATGGATTGGAAGACTTAATATTGTTGCGATGTCAATACTCCCAAAGGAATCTATAGATTCAACGCAATCTCTATTAAAATTCATGTCATTTTTTGAAGAAAGAGAAAAATCTATCCTAAAATTTACATGGAATCTCAAGTGACCCCGAATAACCAAACCAATATTGAAAAAGAAGAACAAAGTTGGATGTCTCATACTTCCTGTTTTCAAAACTTATTACAAAGCTACAGTAATCAAAACAGTGTGGTACCAACATAAAAACAGTCAGACAGACATATAGATCAATGGAATAGAATAGAGAGCCCAGAAATAAACCCTCACATGTATAGTCAAATGATCTTCAACAAGAGTGCCAAGACCATTCAATAGGGAAAGGACAGTCTCTTCAACTAGTGGGGCTGAGAAAACTAGACATCCACATTCAAAAGGATCCAGAAGATGGACCCTTACTTCACACTACACAAAAATAAAAATGACTCAAAATGGACCAAAGACCTAACTAAACTTAAGAACTAAAACTATAAAACTCTTAGAAGAAAAGATCAGGGAAATCTTCATGACATTGGATTTGGCAGTGATTTCTTGTATATGACACAAAAATCACAGGCAACAAAAGAAAAACATAAATTGGATTATATCAAAATTAAAAATTTCTGTGCATCAAAGGACAAAAACAACAGAGTGGAAAGTAATCCATAGATAGGATAAAATCTTTGCAAGTAATATATATGATAATGTATTAAAATCCAGAATATATAGAGAACATCTACAACTCAACAACAACAAAAAAACTGATTCAAAAATGGGCAAAGGACTTAAATAGATATTTCTCCAAAGAAGATATACAAATTGCCAACAAGCATATGAAAAGATGCTCAACATCACTAATCATTAGGGAAATGCAAATCAAAACTACAGTGAGATACCACCCATAAGATGTCTACTATCAAAAAAAAAAGAGATTAACTATTGACGTGGAGAAATTGGAACACTTGTGTACTGCTAATGGGAACGTAAAATGGTATAACTGCTATGGAAAACAGCATAACAATTCCTCAAAAGTTAAAAATAGAATAACCAAGGCTGGCCCCATGGCTTAGCAGTTAAGTGCGCGTGCTCTGCTGCTGGCGGCCCGGGTTCAGATCCTGGGCACGCACCAACGCACTGCTTGTCCGGCCATGCTGAGGCCGTGTCCCACATACAGCAACTAGAAGGATGTGCAGCTATGACATACAACTATCTCCTGGGGCTTTGGGGGAAAATAAATAAATAAAATTTTAAAAAAATAGAATAACCATATGATCCAGCCATTCCATTTCTGGGTATATACTCAGAAGAATCGAAAGTAGAGTCTTAAAGAGATATTGGTACCTCCATATTCGCAGCAGCATTACTCACAGTAGCAAAAAGGTGGAAGCAACTCAAGAGTCCATCCACAGATGAAAGGATAAACAAAATGTGGTGTATTCATTGAGTAGAATATTATTCAGCCTTAGAAAGGAAGCAAATTCTGACACACGCTACATGAATGAAACTTGAAGACATTATGCTAAGTGAAACGTCAGTCACAGAACGGCAAATACTTTATAATTCCACTCATATGAGGTATTTAGAGTAATCAATTCATAGAGACAGAAAGTAGAATGATGGTGGCTAGGCGCCAGGGGAAGGGAGAATGGAGAATTATTGTTTAATGGGTAGAGAGTTTCAACTTTGCAAGATGAATAAAGTTCTGGAGAAGGACAGTGGTGATAGTTGCACAACAGTGTGAATATACTTAATGCCACTGAGCTGTATGGTTAAAATGGTAAGTTTTGTGTTATGTATATTTTACTACAATTTTTAAGACAGTATTTTTAAAAGATTTGGGGGAAAAGGAGCAAAAGTTGACACAGAACTCCATGTTGCACAACTATAGAGGGCGCCATTTACATAGACCATACTGTGAAGGCGTCTTTCTGGAGTTATCTGACTTGGCAGTCCTGCAACCTCAACTCTCCTACCCATGGCAGACATCACTAATCAACCACAGGCCCTGCTCATCCAGCACCAGGCTCTCAGAATCCTTCTCCACACAGGACCCCAGACAACCCCTGATGCTTCTTCAGGGCTGATTTATGAGAAGCCAAGTATTTGCCATCATTAGCTCAACGACCTCCTTGAAATATGTGTGATGGAGAGAGCTGGGGACAAAGATATAACAGACCTGATCATTCTTTTATTGGAAAGGGTATGCATTGCTGCACTTTACAAGCTTGTGAGCCCAAAGTGATTTCAAGTTGAAGATTCAGTTGGTTTTCTTTGAGGTCGTAATGGCCCTGAATCAAGCCACGAGTGTGGCAACTATGCCAGCGCCAGTAAACCTGGATGATGTGGACAGCATGGAGCAAACGGCAGAAACGAAGGCGGATGCGCCACATGCGGACCCTGGACTGCAGCTTGACCACTGCCCATTCTTGCTGTGCATAGAACACTAGGGCCGCCCTCCGCCTGTTCTCCAACAGCTTGGCCAGCTTCTGCTTCCACCAGCATTGAATGATCCGTGCTCTGAGCACTAGGTGCAGCAGCGTCCGGCGCACCAGGGTGCCTCGCCACCAGGCCTGGATGAACACGACTGGTTCCTGTTCCATCATCATGATCTTCACTTTTTTGGGCCCTTATAAGAGAAAACAGGGACACTTAGGAAACTCATACATTTCGGCTCTAAGGTGTGCCAGGAAGGGGTCCTGATCCTCTATCAACAATCACCCCTTTCTCTGACGTTCAAGAGAGCTGTTGTGGTCAACAGCTGGACCCAGGAGACCAAGTAGGTGTCCTGCTTCTGCCATTCTCTGATTAATGGATATGGACACATCATCTTGCCCTCAGGGTCTCAGGGTCTCCATCTGGAAAATGGAGGTACACCTGCAATTGCAACCTCACCCAGTTTTACGTGGACCTGGTTTGCCAGTCTAGAGCAAGAAGACCGTGATCTAGAGGTACAAGAGATACAAGTTTCACCTGGACCTGACCACCTAGCTGAGATCCATGTCTATTCTCTTCAAACTCCTCCCATCTGCTGGATAAGTGGCATCCTTTGCTCCCCCTGCCCTCTTACTTCTGACTTCAGGTTAAACCCACAGCTTGCTATCTCCTTTCTGCCTCACCAAAGTATTAAAAGATGCTCCACCTCATACACTTTATTAAGAGCTTAAACACCAGTTAACACATACATCAGTACAAAGATACACATGCACACACACTGCTAGACCCAGTCTCCCTGTACCTTGGCCATTGTATTCCCCAAACACAGTCCCCACCTTGTAGCTCCCAACTCTATGTGGTCTGGGTTGGCCCCCCTTGCCCCCCCTCCTTGGCACAATCCACATGCCTTGGCCAGACCCACATCTCTTAGCCTAAGGAGAAAATGGGGGGAAAGGACAGCCAAGGAGGAGTCAATCCCTGTTCATTCCAGCTCTATGTATGCTGATCATTCATCCAGTTTGCCTGGTACATACTGGGTATACGCCTGTTGTCCTGGTGTAGTGTTGATAAGTGCTCCTTTCACTCACTGAAGCATCTCTCTTTGGACAATAAATCACATGTTCACAGACCTTTGGGTCATTCTGCTGGACCACAAGGGTCAGAGATGGCACAAGCCAAGCCTCCCCAACACTGTAGAGCCTGGACCCATCTACCCATGGAAGAGTGGGAAGGGCAGGGGCAGTGGTGTGAGTGGGGGTGTCAGGGGTAGAGTCTCTTCCTCTTCTCTCCTTTGCTCCTTCAAGCTCTGTTCTATCAATGTGCTTTCACCATTATCTTTGATTATAATTTAGAAGGTTTGCTGACCTTCTGTAATCAGAGTTTAAAGAGAAGGACATGGGAGAGAGTACAGGCGCTCTCCCCAACACTAGGCGCCAGGTCAACCACACACTTGCTTCCTGGCCTTTCCTAGTGAAACTGAGGATGACGGAGTTAAAATTTCCCTGGACTAGGGTGAAACTGTGCCTTGTACCCACAAGGTTAACGTGGGAAACAGAATAACCAAAGTTTCTGAGCTTGCCTTGCAGAACAGCAGGAGGATCGCTGATAAGAGAGGAACTTGCTGACAGTTCCCTGCCTGACTAAGCATCTTGCAGGAACATTGAGAAGCTAAAAGACTGATTGCAAACTTTAGATGTCAAAGACTAAAAATCCATCCCGTGCAACACATAGAACAGATAGTCAAGCCTGTGCAGAGGACTCTTAGAACTTCAGCCCCCAAGGCCACATGCTCCCCCTCCCCTACCTAAAACCCCAAATAAAAACCCTTGCTAGTAGCTTTTCGAGCAGTTTGGGATCACAGCGTGAGCTGCCTGTTCTCCTTGCTCAGCGCTTTGCAATAAAATTCCTACTTTCTTTCACTATACCCGGTGTCAGAGATTGGCTTCCTGTGCGACGGGTGAGCAAACACACTTCAGGTTCGATATCACTAGGACCTCAGACATGGAGGAAGGATCCCATCCTGAGGTAACTATGGGAAATGTACTGCCCTCCCAGAAAGTTTGGGTGGATCTGATTGTCTCTTACAAAACATTAAATGCCCTTGACTTGGGGTAGATAGTCAAATTCCCTCAGGCATGCGCTCTACTAAATTACCCATGGTTAGGGGTTAGGTGGTCCCATCCCTCTCAGGTCTGTACTCCTTCAGCCACAGCTCTGGCAGGAAGAGTGGAGGAGGGGAGAGAGCCATGATGTCATAACGGCAACTATGACTCGGGCGCCAGGATGTCTCCCAACAGCTGAGCCCCCTCTAAGGAAAACCTGGAAGACCCATCCTTTCTTTCCTACCAGAATGGCCAGAGGTCTGGCTACAAGGATCACCTCAAAAACTGACCCATTGACACAAAAGTGTATAATGATACTCATCAAAGCCGGGCTGGTGTTCATCAAATGGATTTCAATTCATTTAAACAATGATATGCCAAATAACAATTAGAAAGAATGAGTATGCTCTCTATGGACGGATATAGAAGAGTGAAGATTTAGCAAGATTAGCAAGTTCATCAAATCAACCTGAACTCAACATAAGCATATATTTATACACGTGTTATAGAGGCATTATTTTAAAAGGGGTGGGGATTAGGAAGATATACACAAAAATTAGCAGCGATCATCTCTGACGAGGATAGAGGAATTGGGGGAACAAAGTAAAATCCTTCACGGTGGCTAAAGCTCCTATGTCTGGCCTATCTGTAGATCACCTAGTTATCAGGCCCAGGGGAAGGCAGGACCCATATAGGCCAACTCATGAAGCCCTCAGGACCAGCCAGAACATTCCATTATTACAAAGTTCCCATGCAGTTCCCACTCCCAAGATGGGGCAACCATTGCTCTGTCCCCATTGATGATAGTTGTCCTTTCTGCAGCACACATACCTGGATTCACACAGTGTGCCCTCTTCAGAGTCTGGCTTCTTCTCAGGCTTAGGCTCAAGTGGCCTCAAGTACTCTCCTGTCTTTTTCTTCCCCTGAGGGCCTCAAGGTCACAATCAGGAGATGGGTGAGGGTCAGCCACTGCACAAGCAGGGCCCCACATCTGCCTGCTCCTGGCCTCTGAAGACCCCCTTGATCATTGTGAGGCCCTGGTCCACTCTTAGGATCACAGTTCCAGGGGTCACTGAGGAGCACATTTGCAATGTATAGATTAAGTGTGGGGGACGCCAGTGTGAAGCTATGGGAAGATGTAAAGAAGAGGAGGAGGCCACTTAAGGCTGGGGGGGCATCAGTGTAAAGTTAATGGGATGAGGAACATGGGGAAGATAGGAGTAAATTAGAGCATGGGGGAAATAATGGGGTACGGTATGTGGGACAGGAAAGGTGCAGGAAGCATCTGTTTGAAGATAAGACCACACTCCTGGCAAACCCTCATCAGTTTAATGCCTCCATTTGTCTGTCTCCAGAGTCTAGCCCCTAGTCACCACATTCTGATGTCCATGGCAATAGCAATGGAGTGATGACATTCACCCCACTTCACAGATGAGGAAACTAAGGTGCAGAGACTTACATGGCTTACCCTGGTCTCACAGCTGATTAGTCATGGTGCCAGCATTTAGTCCCAGCTCTGCTCTGAACTGCTACACCATGTGGACTCCAGCATCTCTGTGCTTTTCTGATGCTTCTGATTCTCATTGTTTCTAGAAAAGAATCTAAGAAACCTCCATCCTGAATCTTTAAAAATTAGCTAAGTGAAAGAAACCACCTGAGTGTGTTTGAGGTGGTAGGTGAGATTCAAGTCCCTCTGCTCCAGGAGGACAGAAAAGATCCCACATATGGAGCTCAGGGGAACAAGGGGGCTAGGGCCCAGGATGAAGGGAGACTCACACAGGGAAGAGGCCAGGGGCTGGGGTGTCTGTAGATGTGGTGACCTTAGGGGCAGGGAGAGTGCTGTGGCCTTGAGTATCACCAAGACCTGCTCAGACTCAAGCCAGTTGGCAGAGAGAGCCACTCAATTGTGTAGTCACTGTTTGCTGACCAGCCTCTTCCCTCTTGGGTTCCTGGAGAGCAGAGCCTGAGCATTTTTCATGTTCGTGACCCCAGAGGCTACACAGTATAAGGACACAGTAACTAAAAAATAATTGTTCATTGAGTGAGCAATGAATGGATGAATGAATGGACTATCCACCCCCTAGCCCTCTTCTCTGTGGAGACCCGAAGCCTTTAGGGCATGCAACCCTTCTTTCCATTCCTATGGATAGATCCTGTCATGCCTTACCTTGCCCCCTCCACCCTGGTAGGGGTGGGAGTGGGCATGGGCTGGTGCTGAAAATCCCCGGGTGAGATGAGGAAGCTGGAGCACTTTGGGGCTGGGAGAGAGGGGTGACACTGGGAAAGCAGGGGAGGGAGAAAGGAAGAACCCTGGGAGGGACACGAAAGAGGAGAAATGTGGGGACTTGGAGTCTGAGAGAGAAAGGTGGTGAGAATGGAGGAAAAGTGAGACAGAGGGTGACTTTTCCAGGCTATCCCCAGTGGAAGACCTGAAACCTCAGGCTGTCCTCACTAAAGAGTCTTGTGGCTGCTCTCTTCTGTCCACTGAATGCCCACTGCCCCTGCCAGGACGTCCTGGCAGGTGGATTTTGAGAATGAGTCCAAGACCCCTTAGTGGCCCAGCTGAGATCCTTGCTCCAGGGCTGTGGATGGGGTGGTTGCCCACTGAAGACTCTTCCTCTCTCCTTCCTCATGGTCCCCAGCCCAACCCTGAGTCTACCGTGGGTGATCAAGTCCTGGAACCACAATAGAACCCCTGAGTTTACCTCAGCTGGAGTGAGGCCCTGGCCCAAGAGACACATTTGCTTTAACATTGGGCCTCAGACCTGGGAGTTCTGTAAAGCCTCCATATTGCTTGTTTAAGGTATTGTGGGGTCAGGGAAGTTCAGGATTGGATAGTCCTGGGCAGCTGACTGCCATGACAGTATGGCAGCCTGGGGTGTTCTATGGGCCAGATCTGTCTTATATTCAGTTCCCTAATACAGACTCTGAGATGGAAAGTTGCATGTGGACGTTTAATTGGAGAGTGCTCTTGGAAGACACACTTCTAAGGAAGTGAGGAATACAATATTGGGCAGAAGGGAGAAGCTGACCTACAATGTATTTGCAACCGATCTCAGCCAATCCTACAGAGAGCTTGGCAGTTGGGATGGCCCTTCAGAATTGTTCCAAATTCAGGCAAGGGGACTTGGCCTTTGTATCCAACTGTATTAGTTTGCTAGGAATGACGTAACAAAGTACCACAAACTGTGTGGCTTAGAACAAAGAAATTTGTTGTCTCACAATTCTGGAGCCTAGGTGTCCAAAAGCAATGTGTTGGCAAGGCCATGCTCTCTCTGAAACCTGTAGGGGGAGGATCTTTTCTTGCTTCCTTCTAGTTTCTGGTGGTTTGTTGGCAATCTTTGGAGTTCCTTGGTTTATAGATGCATCACTCCAATCCTCCTTCTTCACATGGCATTCTCCCTATGTCTTCTTTCTGTGCACATCTCTTCTGCACACATCTGTGTCTGTGTCCAAATTTCCCCTTTTTAAAAGGACACCAGTCATATTGGATTAGGACCCACCCTAACGACCTCATCTTAACTCGACTATATCTGCAAAAACTCCATTTCCAAATAAGATCACATTCTGAGGTACTGAGGGTTAGGACTTCGATATATCTTTTTTGTGGGGGAGGACACAATTCAACCCATAACACCAATCATAAGCAGTCACTGGATGCAGGCTTCCCATTAGGAGAGGATATAACCTTGCTCAAATGTCTTCCCTGTGACCAAAGGCAATTCTCAGTGCGGGATACAGCAGTGACCCAGCAGCAGCCAATATTCTCAATAGCTGTGGGATGAGTCGTCAGCTATGAAGAGAGGATCCACTACATCCACATATTCACTACGACCCACCCCTTTATGCCACTCAGATCTACTTGCTTCCCATAGTAAGTTTTTACCATTTAAAAATAGCTTCTTCAGGATTCAGGTTGGTCTTGTCTCCTGGGAAAACTTAAAAAAGAAGGGTCAGAGGGACAAACTTCAGTCCCCACTGCTACAGTTTATTTTGAGGCCATTATTTGCGCTCTTTTTCCCCTTCCTCTACCACCCTTTCGAGATTTCCCTCACCTTTGACTAGCATTTCTGCTGGCCTAGGCAGTTTGCCTGAGGGATCAGATTCTCTGGTTACCTTATACTTCCCAGGCCATGATTGTGTTCATCTGCCATTACACCTGGGCAGCAAGCACCAAGAGATCTTGCAGTGAGTCACCCAAGCAGCATTCATAGTTTTCCCTGCCGCTATAGTGTAGCAGCAGCCCCCTCACCCTCTCTTGATGATCAGGGCTAAATATCCCTGCCAGTATGGTGACTCTTTTCATTATCTGCTGTCTCTTGGCAAAAGGAATCTGAAGTAACTGAGTCACAGCCAGAGCTTTAAGCTTAATGGCACTCTTGCTATGACCATTGGCAACTGCCTTCCCTCCCTAGAAACCAGAACCTCCAGACAGGTGGAGGCTAGAGTTGCAGGGACAGAAAGCACAAATTCCCCAGTGTATAACTGGACGGGGTGGTCACAGGTGCATTACCATTTTCACACATTGCTTCTGAGACACAAGCATTCAACCTGTTAGGGACTCAGCACCATGTAATGGGCATTGATTTAGGGCTTGGGTTGGTAAACTACAGCCTGTGGGTTAAATCCAGCCCATTGCCTGTTTTTGTACATCCTGCAAAGAATGGTTTTTACATTTTTCAGTGGTTGAAAAAACTCAAAAGAATGATATTTCATGACACATGAAAATTATATGAAATTCAAATTTCAATGTCTATAAATAAAATTTTATTGGAACACAGCCACACTTACTTGTTTATGTGTTGTCTATAGCCACATTTGGACTATGACAGATTTGAGTAGTTGTGACAAAGACTGTATGAGGTGCTCTCATGACTTCCCACTGCTGCTCAGCACACAACAAATCACGGCGGTACAATTATAACTAAACAGTGTTTTGAGTGCCACACATACTGCTGTGCTGTGACTTATTTTTTATTCCAAATGCATATCCATCATGTCAAAACAAGAAAAGAGGAGAAAAGTGGACTTCAAAGTCTGTATTTTTTTATTGAGGTAATATTGGTTTATAACATTATATAAATGTCAGATATACATCATTATATTTCAATTTCTGCGTAGACTACATCATGTTCATCACCCAGGACTAATTACCATCCATCACTGTACACATGTGCCCTTTTACTCCTTTTTCCCTTTTCCCTACCCCCTTCCCCTCTAGTAACCACCAATCTATTCTCTGTATCTATGTATTTGTTTGTTGTTGTTGTTC